AAAAAAAAAAAAAAAAAAAAAAAAAAAATCAAGAGCGGAGCTAACTTTCATGTAACTATGTGTATTTGAAATAGTTCGAATTTTGAAAAATGGTCAGAAGCGAAACTGCAGTTCTCTGCAGCGTCGACAGTGTCAAAATGTTATCTTTTTTTATGAATAAAAAGAAAAAAGAAATGGGTCGTTATACACAATTAATTTCGTAATTGCGTATGATTGATAGGACCCATCTGATAAAGTTTTAAAGTCGCTCCCGATGAAGTTTACTTAAGTTTGCCAAAGGAAAGGAAAATATTCATTGCGATTTGCTCATTCGGCGAATAGACAATTCGTTAGTTATTGCTCAGACCTAAAACCAACAATCGGTGCGGTGGTTCATATTAACAGCAGTTGACCCATTTAAAACTGTTAATTCTTCTCAAAACTGTGAACATTTAATTGAAACTTTAAACCAACATTTAATCAGCAGTTATTCTATAGTGGTAATATCATGAGAGTTCTACACATTACGAGGTTCGCTTTGAAAGTAAGTGTAATCGTAACTTCTAAATTACTAACTGCATAAGATTAAAATCTATAAAAAGCTCCTTACCGATCATACTCTCAGCTGGGCATGCACAGTGCAAATACATCCACTGAGAATATGGCTACTAAGATGCGCTTTAGAGATTTTAGTTTCATATACAGAGCTTTTACAGAGCTTTTTATAGATTTTAATCTCATGCAGTAGGTAGTTTAGAAGTTATGGTAAGAAACTACTTACTTTTGAAGATACCCTCGTAATTTGTGAAACTCACATGATTTTACCACCAGAATGAATACTGATGAAAGGTTGGTTTAAATTCATTCGGAATAGGTTAGAAATTATAAAAAAAAATGTGATCCTTGTACTTCGTGCAAAACCCGTTATTTATCACTCGAATTTTTGCAATGAGACAATACGCAATTTTCCTAATTCTTCCATGCTTAGCTCTAACATCGCATTCTCCCGCGGCCAAAAAAGATGTGGCATACAATCTCGATCCTAGGTACCTAGTGCCCTTCAGCCACCTTTTTTTCTCACCGCTGGGCACCGCGATTGCACTCCGCTTCATCAATGACATCATGCGCTCCGAATCTCCTAAATTTTGTGACGTCATCGGCTACAGAAACGACACGAATCACAACGAAACAAC